CATCATTCATTGATTTTAAATCGTGTCTGATACTTTGTCTGACTTCATCCTCCTGTAAATCTAAATAATTGTGTCCATTATGATCAGCCACGAAACATCTCCAACAAACGGCTAAGGTACAATCTTTACAGTAGAATTTTACAGTCTCTTCTTCATGGCGCAGACAGAAATCTTTAGGATTTGTGATAGATGAAGATGAAGTTTTTTCCTTTATTGGTTCGTGTGAAGTAGACGCTTGATGGATCTGTATTTCATCATATGGAGCCACAACGTGGTCTTTACAAGATTTTAACTTATCATGCGTGGTTTTACATGATTTACATAAATATTGATCACAGTCTCGACAGAAATATTGACATGTATCTTCAGTACATACATCACATTGAGGAATATTAATTGGTTTAGGTTTAAATCGATCCAGACCTCCGTCACTAAGATTTATAAAGCTACGGCATAATGGACATTGGAACTGATCTTTAGTTGAGGTTTTGTTCACATAATCTTCTAAACAGATAAAACAAAAGGGGTGTTTACAATCGAGTACCACGCGTTGTTGAAAATCGTTCAAACAAATACTACACACTTCCTTCTCCGCCATTTTGAATAGCTGTATGTTGCACTGGTTGTATAAAATACGAGTTGAAACTGGACAAAACAACAACAAACAATTAGGCTAATATAATATACGATATCCTAGAAATCAAAAGTATTAAATTTAGCCAAATCGTCTAAATCCCATAGAAAACCACGCCTGCCATCTTCTCGCACAGTTTATCTTCCTTGGACTGTACACTGAACCTGCATAAACTTGCTATAGTTTCTTATAAATGCTCACCAAAACGTCTAAGTCACATATCTGTAGACAATACGAGTTCAAACTGGATAAAAATACAAAATCAAACAATTAGCCCAATATGGTACTTGATATCGAGACAGATGAACTAAAAATCAAAAGTATTTAATTCAACCAAAACGTCTAAATCCCATAGAAATCCACGTCTTTCATCGTCTTGCAAAGTTTGTCTTTCTTATACTGTAGACTGAACATGCGTAAACTTGCTACAGTTTCTCGGAAATTCTATTTTTATTTTCGTTTTGATATAATGACCTTCGACATTAGCCTTTGTCACCCAGACTATCACTGTGTGTATCAACTACCACGGATATTGTTAGTGTGGGTAACAGAGTCTACCACTAGCACGCCATGTCATGTTGACACTATATTTAGCGGTGTACGTCTATAATACCATCGTCTTACACAATTTATCTTCCTCGGACTGTAGACTGTACAAGTGAAAATTTGCTACAGTTTCTCGGAAATTCTATCGAAAACGTCTAAATCACATAAAAATCCACGTCTTTCATCGTCTTGCACAGTTTGTCTTCCTTATGCCGTAGACTGAACATGCGTAAACTTGCTGCAGTTTCTCGGAAATTCTATTTTTATTTTCGTTTTGATATAATGACCTTCGGCATTTGCCTTTGTCACCCAGACGATAACGGTGTACGTCAACCACCACTGATATAATATTATGAATGTATGTTATGTATGCATGTCAAGTACAACTGATATTGTTAGCGTGGGTAACAGAGTCTACCACTATCACGCTATATCATATTGACACTATATCTAGCGGTGTACGTCTATAATTATAATATTATGAATGTATGTAGTATGAAAGTAGGTCAACTTATAGTGAGATATAATATAATGTATAATGTTTATACGTTTACACAGCTATAATTCCACGTGTTCCTCTGTATGTCTCCAACTTGGTATATTCAACAATGTAGTAATATATCAACTTGGTATCTTTAACAATGTAGTAATATATCAACTAGTTAATAAACCTCTAGATATAATATACACGGCTGGGTCAACATGGCGCTATATCCTTACTTAGAAAGTTCATCGGGACTCTCCGATTTTAGTCCCATGCTCCATCCGAACGACTAGACGGTGTTCCTGCAGGACTGACAGAGGGACACCAAGCCGGAAAATCCCGAATAGCTTTCTCAACCGACACTGGCATCAAACCCATAACCCCCTGGTTAACGAACGAGTGTCTTACTCACTGAGCCACCGCGACTCGCTTGATAATATAATACTTGACGTAATATCAAGGTTAATTTACGTCCGCTTCCATTGAGATGATACCGTAGACAATAAATCAATGTCTAAGTATTCTGATATTAACATATTGATGGTCGTGGTAGTCAACGAGTCAGGGGATTGAGTTCGAATCTCGAGGCTGGCTCGCTACCCTGGAGGTTGGGTGTTCGATCTCTGTATTGGTCGAGAAAGTTAAATTCATCCAGATTTTCCGTCGTGATTCCCCCTTGTCAGTGATTGAGGACGGAGGGCCTGACAAGGACCGCTGTCTAGTCGTTCGGAGGGTCCGAAAATCCGAGGTTCCGTGTACACATTGGCGTGTACGTAAAAGATCCCTTGACAGTTGGAATTCGATATAAGAGTAGGCCGTAGTGTCGCTGCCCGGACATGTATACTAGGCGGACATTTTTTTTATATTCTTACGGTGGAAACGGACGTTTAGTTGAGAGATTACTTCCTAATGTCAAAATAAATTATTATTTCCATAATTATGTGCTGTGGTTTATTGTTTAAAATAAACTTATTTTATTACAACTGTTGATGCGGGGGGGGGGGGGATTTGAGAACAAACAAATAATCAGTATTTTACAATGGAGAGGGAGAAGATAGGGTTAAACGTTCACTCGAAACAAACTAGGTAATTTCGGGACTAACATATACAGTGTATTTCAATTTTTTCAATAATACGCTTGCACGTAGGGCTGGGACCGGGGGACAAGGAGATAACCCAAGAGGCTGGACAGGCGACCCTACACCTTGTCACATACAACCGGGGAATCGAAACCACGCCAGTTGACTCAATGACAGATCTTATGAAACACCCAGGGCTGGATTGGGCCATCGGCCGGTCAGACAAAAAATGAAAAAAATAATTTGGTGCAATTCGTCTAATAAAACCTTTTTCTTCTGAACATTATATGGGGGGGGGGGTGTATTGAACCGGTCATGCAGCGATGATGATCATGTTGTATGTGGCCGGTAGCTTTAACGGGCCACCACGCCATCACTGGAGTTTGGAATGGGCTGGTATAATAGACTTTCTGGGCCGGGTGTGCTGGGTGTGGGCCGGAATTCGGAATCCGAAAATTTCACCGGATTCACCAGACACTTTCACCGGCAAATTTACTAATTATTAAGTCCCCTGTACCCTGTTTCTGGGGATACGTCAGAAACGTCTGCCGATCGTTTGTAACTCAAAAAAAATTTTCAATTTTAAGGCCTCAGCAAAATTTGATGATAGCCAGTCTGCTTGCTGAATATGAGTGCTAGACGATTTCCTGAGACTGGTGTTAAACATTCCTTAACATTTTTTTTAACTCGTTATTTACAGAGATGAAATTACAGAATTGGGATGTCGGGAATGGTCTCAAATTGCGGGAAATGGCCTCCCATTTTTCAAAATTTTCCCTGGGGAGAGCACCCGGACTCCCCCATCCGGGCTCCGCGATCAGTAAAAGGGGCCGCTCCGACACGGGACCTCGGGCCGTTTCCCGGCCCCAATCCGCCCCTGGATACAACACGCACGCGCTAACCATTCGGCCATCCAACACCCTATTTTACAGTGGGTAGCGACTAATAAAACATAATTAAGGTGAAAGAGAGAAATGGGGTTTAACGTCCACTCGACACAAAGTAGGTCATTTCGTGACTAACACATGGTTCAATTTTATTTTAATCATTCGCTTGTGCGTAGGGGTCTTTAGCAGTGCTAACCATTCCGTCATCCAACCCCCCATAATTAAGGTAGAGAAAATTAAAAGAAGGTTTTGATGTAACATCATTTACAGTTAAATATTACTTTAAATTGCGTTTTAGAGTTCGAATCACGCCATGGGCCCGAGAAGAACTCGTTCTCGCTTTTCAGGGTGGCCCCGGCGGAATTGACAAAGGAAATGTGCCTAATCCATCGGATAGGGTAAAAAGCGGCATTCCAGGCAAAGTTCACCATCGTATTGCACGCCTGGCGATTGAAAAGAAAAATACATTAATTAGTCTTAAATTGAGGAGACGTTAAACCCCATTCTAGTATTATATATATTGGGTGTGACTGTGATAAATACGGGGTTAAATGTACTGTCATGAACTGGCGTGGTTCCCCCGTTTTCCATTGTGCAGGACTTTGGGCCTGGCAATAGATAACACCTAGTTGTTCCGACAGTTCTTGTCTACTCAGGCGTGCAGGTATTGGAATTCCGTGTAAGAGTAAGCTGTCGCGCCGCTCTCCAAGACAAGATTATTTATATATAATTATATATCAATAGGTGATGTATTTTTATTATATATTCTCACCTGGTACAATAATTGATTGTTTTATAAACTTGGACGACATTAGTCACCCTATCTATTTTACTATAAAACTACAACAATGCAGGATAAATGGATATGGATCATCCTGTCAAGGTTTGTAAATTTGTGGAACGAAACAGCTGACCGACAGCCGACAACTCTATACGCCTATATTACGCGTGGGTGTATATAGAAAAATTGCAAATAGAAAAAAAAGTGAGGAGTCCTTCCGTATTCGTGACTGAGACATTCTCCTATTGAACACCAAAACCAAATTTAAATAAAAGAAAGATGGTCAAATTCACGCTGATATGGATTTTAGCAAATTTCATGAAATTCGGGCAATAACTCAGCCCTGTATATAGCTTTGATACGTTTTATGTGAAATCAAGGGCTATAACTCTAAGCATGTTCATAATTATGATGTCAGTAATTAGTAATTAGTAATTCTTTCCCCAGGTGATTTTAATGTTAAATCTATGACATGCCTTGGCCTATAACATTTTTTCTAATATGCCTCGACCGGGCGTATTGAATTACCCAATAACACCCAATTAATAATACCCAATAATTCCAACTGCCAAGGCATACGTGCATCCCAATGTATACACGAGACCTCGGTTTTTCGTCCCATCCGAACGACTAGATAGCTGTCCTTGGCAGGCCCTTCGTCCTGCACCACTGACAAAGGTAAACCACATCGGAAAATCCAGATGAACCGCGACCTCCATGCTTACAAGCCAACGTCTTACTCACTTAGTAAGCTAGCACCCTTTGGCTCCCTGTTTAGAACGGAATTAGGTTAATGTCTCGATCTGCCACTTTAAGCGATTGGAATCACTTGTAAACTACAGCAAACTACTGTTCTGCTCCCACTGTGCTAACGAAAACGGGCATACGCCATACAGTGTGCTATGAGGGACACTTAGAGCGGACAGCGGCGCTGCGGCCTACTCTCAAGGAATCTTCAACGTGCACGCCACATACACGAGACTTCGGTTTTTTGTCCCATCCGAGCCATTTCGTCCCTGGTTAATTAGTATTTTGTATTATTTGATTTTTTAGGTTAATAGATGATCCAGTGCCCGCAGATGATACGTGTACAACAAAATTTACAATAAAATTCAATATAAAGTGTACAATAAAATTTCAATACATAACAATTTCATAAATATAACAAATTCAATGATTCTCTGTGGCAACAATTCCATGGCGATTCTTCCCCACACGGATATCCCGCCTGAAAAATCCTTCGTTAATGCTTTTTTGTTGTAACTGAAAAAATAAATATTTGATTGTTAATATATTTTAGTGTACAATTTACTTTGTTGTTTATTAATAAACGGGCCCGCTCTAGCGTGGAGATGTTCCGAAATGATAAAGCTAATGTGTCCCGAAAGTAAACTATGTCGTGTGGACGACTTAACCAACGTATTTGGGCACACAATTGTACTTTGTAAAAATTGTATAAAAAAAATATTGTGTTCTTGAATGTGTCCAATTTAACAGCGAATTTATTATTATTATGTAACATACTAAGAACCTAACTACATTTTTTGGGCACCAACCACCACCGCCCGCCCCCCCCCCCCCAGTCAAAAATTTCCCCGTACGCCTATGTGGACGACTGCACCAACGAGTGTGGACGACTTCACCAGATTTTTCGTGTGGACGACTTTGCTCGTGGACGACTTAACTGATATTCCTCTTGCCATGCCTTCGAACCTGCACCTGCTTCTTTTTTTTCTTTTGAACATACAATTATTTCGGTGGGTGCATGGGTATTTTGTTTATACGACACAGTATGAAAGTGCCATTTAACGAAAACGAAAGATGATTAAGATGCCAAGTTATGGCAACTTAAAAGTAAATAGCACGATCTGCTTAGTCACATAATAGAGTAATTAATTTAGAAGCTTCACACAGAACGATAATTTGCCTTACACCAGAGAATTTAGTAAGGCAGAGTAGGGTGAAGCTTAGTGATTTTATTTATATTTTCTTTTCTTTTCTTTTTGTATAGAATTGGTATATCAGATGGTTGGAGATGTTGTTGATATAGGGATGCATTCTGTTGGACCATATGATCCAGAGGTAGAGATACATGATATAGAAGTATTTTGTGGAATGTATATTGTTTATATGTGTAGTATCAAAGGATTTAAAGTGCTGTAATTTAGGGCAGTGTAGAAATAAGTGACTGTAGGTTTCATTATTTTTCTTGCAGTATTGACATATATAGTCATCTACGTAAATATTTCGAGTGTGGAGAATATCTTTTGTGGGAAATGCATTGTGTATTATTTTGTGCATAAATTCTTTTTCTATTTCAGATAGTGTTGGACATTTATATAAATTATGCCAAACTTTTTCAAAATTTATATGAGGTAGGTGTTTGTTTATTTTTGGTTGTACGTTCTTACTATCAATGAGTGACCAGTACAAGTACAGACTTTTTCTTTAATCGATAGGTTGTAAGTAGACCAGTGACTAATAGTTGATTTAATCGTCATGATGAGGGGTAACCATATTTTTTTCCATTTTATTGATCTCAAAACAAAAGCCCAGTAATTTAATTGTGTCTGTTTTAATGTTTATGTTTATATTTTCAGGAAATGAGTCATGGGATGGTTTACGAACACCAACATGGTGGATTTCGGTTTTATCTTAATTTAGTTGAGAGCTATATACGGAGCCAACATTTATACGTAAGGAATAAAGAATCGTGGACAACCTTGACGGATCGAACGATTATTTTTGATATTTTGAGAGAAGGATCCATTTACTTGAACTTTACTTTTCAAATTTTTAAACAGTATTGTAACCCAATTTACAATGTCATTTGGAAAATTCATATGTTTTAGTAGGGTTTTTATATAATTGTGTTCAATACGGTCAAAGGCTTTTTTCCTAATCAAACGATAAGATATAGGCATTAGTTTCATGTGTGTCTAAATAATTTAGGATTGAATCAATTAAATACAGGTTATCGAAGGTGCTTTTATTTGGTCCGGCTCCCGTTTGTGTTTTAGAGATCAATTTGTTAATAACTGTGTTCATTCATATACTTAATATTTTTGTGATGATTTTATAGTCGACACATAACAGGCTTATTGGTCTATAGTTCTTAAGTAATCGGTGGTCGCCTCTATTCTTATAGACAAACAATTTATTCTTATAATTAATTATTATTATACCGGTTCTCATTGGGTTAGATAATTCACCCTGTTGATAGATGTTGTTTATTACTTCTGTCAGGTCGGTTCCTATGGTGTCAAAGAATTTGATATAGAAATCTCCTGGAATACCGTCGATGCCTGGGCTACGGTTTGATCTGAAACTTTGTAAGGCCTTAAGATCTTCATCTTTAGATATGAAATGAGACAGGGAATCTCTTTCCGTGTTAGTTAGAGTATTTATGTTACTGTTTTCAATATAGGAGTTTATTAGGTTTTCGTCAATGTATATAGTTGTTGGTAATATTGGTGAATTGTGTCTAGAATATCTTGTTCATTATCAAATACTGTATTATTTTGATTGATTAATTGTTTAATTTGCTTTTTAGCACCGTTTTTGACCTCAGCTAATTTATATATTTTAGAATATCTTAACCTTGTATTGTATTTTGTTCTATTATTTCGATTTTTGTTTGAATTTCATGCATTGAGTTAGTATTCATAGGTAGTATGGAAGTAGATCAACTTATAGTGTGATATATATTGAGACTATATTTATGTTATATATATGAATGCATATCTAGCACTATGCATATCTAGCGGTGTATTATGAATGTATGTTATATTAAAGGACGACGGATATTGTTAGCGTTGGTGACATGGGCTACTCCTAGATCTATCTTTATAATAGTATTAACATGTCACGTTTAGATTATATTTAGAGAGAAAGATAGATAGATATGGGGTTAAGTGGAGGGAAACCGCAGTTCAGGACCCGGAAAAACCCACGAGATTCGTTGACACGTATATGCGGGGAACCTACTCCATGCAGATTGACTCTATGTATATGATAGACCAGGAAAAAACCCACGAGGGTGGACAGGCTACCCTATTCTGTGTCACGTACTTGCGGTGAACCGAGTCCAAGCCAATTGACTCTATGATAGACGTTACTCACTGAGCCATCGCGACTCCCTTGATAATATAATACTTGACAAAATACCAAGGTTAATTTACGTCCGCTTCCATTGAGTTGATACCGTAGACAATAAATCAATGTCTAAGTATTCTGATAATAACATATTGATGTCAGGGAATTAAGTTCGATTCTCGAGAAGAACCTTGAGGTTTGTCAAGCCTGAGTTTCACCTGTCAGGGGTATAACGTCTATTGGGCTGACTAGTCCTTCGGATGGTTCCTACGTGTATACATTGGCGTGCACGTAAAATACATTCGATGAAACGCCGCTGTCAGGGCAAAATTCTTCTCATTAGCATAACATCCCTTAATAACAGAATAAAAAGCCGGTAGTATTGTGTTGTGTTAACGAAATGTTAAATTACATTCCTATTTTATTTTGTGGTTATATGACTAAAACGTCAGTTATATCAAGATAAGCCAGAATATTTTAAAGATACTTCACCGTATACAAACCGTTCGATCAAGAAATAACAACCTCTCCCTCAGTTAAACTAGCATACAATAAGCCGTCGTGTTGGCTCCCTCAGTCAAACTAGCATACAATGAGCCGTCGTGTTGGCTCCCTCAGTTAAACTAGCATACAATGAGCCGTCGGGTTGGCAGTTAGTGATACCCTGACATTTTTGTACAGTTCCTGTTTTTCGCGTAATCCAGTATTTTTCTAGTAAGATTGGGCGTCTAAGCTTTTCATATATATCATGTCATACTTTTACTGGGAATAACCACCTGATAAATATATTTGTGACAATGTATCTTTAATATCCTTGTGATTGAAGCGGATGTTTAGTTGAGAGATTAATCTTCCAAATATTGCGGGAGGTTGCGTGACCGAAAGGTTAACGCATGCGCGTTGGATCATAAGGTCTGCAATGAGTCAAGTGGTGTGGTTTCGATTCCCCGCTTGTACGGGACAAGAAGTAGGGCCCATCCTCTTAATTTTGCTCCCACTTCTAAAGACCCATACGCATAAGCGAATCATTTACATAAAATTGAAAAATATGTTAATAACGAAACTCTCTCTCTCTCTCTCTCTCTCTCTTTCTCTCTCTCTTATTAAGGTGAATAATTTCTGTACATGTTAACTATTACCTACATCCTATATTATATGAACTATTATAGATGGCCAATTACTACTAAACCAAGCATATCATAGTATGATGTACTATTAATATTATATGAACTATACTAGATGGCCAATTAATACTAAACACAGCATATCATTGGTTTATAGTGGAGAATAATTAACATCAAAGTTTACTGTATTACAAGATATGATGGGAATTATTAATGTCTATAATCAGTATATTTCAAGTGAAATGAAATGAAATGGATTTTAACGTCCTACTGTTCAGCTCCGACTGGGCTAATGCAGTGTGCTATGAGATAAATTTTGTTCGGACAGAGGCTCTACGGCCTACTCTTATTTCCAATTCCAACTCTCAAGGGTTCTTTTATGTGCATGCCAATATGTACAATGGACCTCACCTTGGTGTTTCATCCCATCCAAAGGACTATACGTTGTCCTACATCACTGACAGGTTAGCGAGTTAACGTCTTACTCACTGAGCCACCGTGGCTCCCATGTGGAATGAATCAGAATTGTAACAAAGGTTAACCTAAGCTATATTGTACAAGTGATGTAATTATTTATAATGGGTATAACAAACATCTATTCAAGTGAAATGAATCAACATTAAAACAACTGCTATCATTAGACGAGTAATATAGTATTTTATGACTAAACGAAGTATCATAACATATAATTGATTGATCAATAGTAGAGGTCTAATAATATTGTAATGATATAATACATGATATACTAATGATATTGTAATTATATCAGTCAGCTATATAATACATGATATACTAATGATATTTATTTTAGCTTGTAATATATTTATTCACAGAATATAATTATACATTATAATATTTACAGTATTTTATAATTTCCACACCTTTAATTTATTTATTTACTTATTCCCTGTTACTATATAAAACACACACAGGCAAAGTATTCGCTGTTACTATATAAGACACACACGGGCAAAGTATTCCCTGTTACTACATGTATATATGACACACAGGCAAAGTAAAATACAATAATATACAATAATTAAAACAAATATTTTTGATTATTTATAATATGTATAGTCTAATAGTTGAGTAGATATAAAAGAGTGAACAGTAAAATTATTTATAATGTGTATAGTGTAAGAGTTGAGTATGTATAAAAGAGTAAAAAGTAAAATATGATATATATAAATAAAATCATTGCCTGTATTTTGCACACCTATAATACAATAGAGCGATACAGATTTTAAGTACATTTAGTGTCAATGAGAAAACCTGGTTTTAAATACTAATTATAAATTTCCATGTTTCAATTATTGCAATATTTGATGACTTTACGTCTAAGAGAAAATGAATTGCATTAAATAAATAATTTGCAGATATTTTCTAATAAACAGGTTGGCAGTGGGATTTTGGAGTGTAGAGGTTTTTGGCTGTTGAGTACATAGTGTCTATCTGAAAATATGCTTCAAATTTTAAAATATGGCTCTTAATGTTTCAAAAGTTACTATATTTGGTGACTTCAATAGCAAATAAAGATAATGTAAGCAAGAAAATTGGTTATAATTCAGAGTTGGCTGAGAATATCTTGTGAAATGGTTTACAATAGCCAATTTCAATGTTAATTTTTTGAGATGACTTGATGAGCAAGACTAAAATGATTTGTATAGTTTAGATAGAGCTGGATAATAGGGACTTGTATCACTGGTGTTTATGTTGGGGGTTAAAAGATGGGTCGAATGCTGGCAGACGGCAATTCGTCTGCTATTCTAGAGAGATATTTTCATAAACGATTTAAGTTGTCAATTACATCATCATTAAGGGTATCTAATTTAGTAACTTTAGATGTTATATTTAGGATTGAGTTTGTTTATTGTGATTTCTAAGTATGACAATTATCTTTTAGGCTTATTTCAAATCTAAAGTTATTTCTTGAACAAAGTAGATTTGTTCTATATTTGATTGAAATAGATGAATGACTTCGAAGTTCTTCGAAGGGGATCACGGTGGCTAGGTGGGTAAGACCCTGGCTCGCTAGCCTGGAGGTCGGTTTTCGATCCCTGCATTGGTAGAGAAAGTTCATCCAGATTGTCCGGCGTGGTTCTCCTTTGAGAGTGATGCAGGACAGAGGGCCTGACAAGCACAGCTGTCTAGTCATTGGCGTGCACGTAAAAGATCCCTTGACAGTTGGAATTCTATATGAAAAAAGACCGTAGTGCCGCTGTCTGGGCAATATTTTCCTCATATCACACTGTATGGCGCATGCCCGTCTTCATTAGTCGAGTTCGGAGCAGAACAGTAGGACCATTTCTTTTCATTTCATTTCATTTCGAAGCTCTTCGGAGAAGGTGTTAGAAGGAATATTTAGGGATGTTCTGGAATATTCGAGCATTCTCAACAATAAATTTTTCAACCTTAAAGAAATCAAATACGGATGTTTGAAGCTTTTGACCTTGTTATATAATATTTAACAATATAACATTTAATTAGAGGTTCTTTGGAAGAGGTGTTCGAGGGAATAATCATTGAATAGTTATCAAAGTGAGAAAGAGAGAGAGAGAGAGAGAGAAATGGGATTTAACGTCCACTCGAAACAAACTTGGTCATTTCGGGACTAACATATGGTTCAATTTTATTTCCATAATCTCCATAAAGGGGTCTTTAGCTGTGGGAGGAACGTATCTTACGATATGATAAATGAAATGGGGTTTAACGCCCTACTGCTTCGACTGAGCAAATAAAAACGGACATATGTTTAAAATGAATGATATGTATTATTGCAACTGTTTGTGGGTTTCTTTTAGAACGTATTTTACGATATGATAAATGAAATGGAGTTAAACGCCCTACTGCTTCGACTGAGCAAATGAAAACGGCCATACGCCACGCAGAGTGCTATGAGGGAAATGTAACCTGGACAGTAGCGCTACTGCCTATTCTAATATCGAATTCCAACTGCCAAGGGATCTTTAAAGAGCATGCCAATTTGTACATGGGACTCGTTTTTTTCGTCCCATCCGAACGACTATACGTTGATGTCCGTGATTTGTTAAGAGCTCTATCTAATATTTATCAATGGAAAGCCTCGTGTTTACCGAGAGTCTGATAAAAAAATAAGCTTCCTATGGACAAGGAACTGAATCACCATATCCATGAAGCTACCTCGTTATTCGTTATTCAACTTTATATCCGGGATCCCAATATGCAGCTAGCCGTGACTAGAATGGATGGGTGCCAAGTATCCCCCAGTAGTATAAAACTGGGCCTTAGGGTTCTTTGAAGAGCGCCACCCCAGTTACTGGTCCAAGTTCTCGTAAAAACGTCCAGTCGTTCGCAAATTCTTGAAATTTGGACTTGATGAAGAGTCCGTGCAAAAATTCAATCATGGCTTATGCCCGTCGCCATTAAATCGATTACTGCCGAAAAGAAGGGAGCTAACTGTTCTATTTAATTTTTGAATTTGAAGGAAAGTGAACATACTATATCATAACTTTACCACCGATACAGGGTTCGATATCACATTTGTACCTGACAAAGGTTTAATAAGGCTACCTGTTCAATCTGTTGGGTTTCATCCGGAAATGAAATCGGGTTTAAAGAGACCATCCCGATTTTAACAAAGTCTCCGAAATAAAAGTCCGTGTTTGTATGCAATGTATGTACCGTGTCTCGCGATATTTAGTCGTTTGGACGTGAACGTCAAAACCGCTTATCCGGACGCGTCCTACTGTTCTGCTACAACTGGACTAATGATCGAATTCCAACTGCCAAGGGTCTTTTACGTGCACGCCAATGTGTTCACGGAACATTGGACAACACCGGGATCAAACCCGCTACATCTATGCGAGCCAGCGTCTTTCTCACTTAGCCACTGTGGCTCCCCGGTTTTCATACGAATCTTCCTTTCTAGTTTCCCCCCCCCCCCCAAAAAAAATCCAAAACAAACTGGCAACTAATTTTTAAATTTAATCAGACACATTGCATGTTAGCTCTGTCTGTCTTTCTGTTGGCATTGCTGGATTTAGATGAAGCCCCTCCCCACCCCACCCTCACGACAACAGGAAGATCAAAATGTCCGTTAAACACTGTCGAGGATAGTGACGAATGTTTAAGACTACAGTCAAAATATTATACACCATGGTCCGATGACCCCCCACCCCCCCGTCTTGGCCGGATGACCCCCCCCACCCCTATCATGGCCCGATGAGCCTCCCCACCCTCCACTCACCCATATCTTGGCCCGATGACCCTCATATCTTGAGACCCTCCTAGGTTTCAGCCTGCCAAGCCCACATGTGAATCTAGCACTGTCTGTTTGTTATATGATGAATGAATATAAGAGAGAGAGAGAGAGAGAGTGTGAGAGAGGGAGGGAGAGAGAGAGAGAGAGAGAGGGAGTGTACATTGTGTATATTCCCATGCTCCTGTACAGGATGTGTTGATGCAATGTCGAGATTTACGACAATTTAATTTATATGGCATTTTCAGCTCTTAAGAAACATTCCTTTCAGAGATAAAGCTCAAGTACCACACTTAACATTTAACATAAAAAAATATAACAACTCTTCCAGATCCTAGTGTAATAAAGACAAGTAAAACGAAATTTTGAACTATAAAAAACGAAACGAAATAGGATCTGTCTTTTACAACTCTTCCAGATCCTAGTGTAGTAAAGTCAAGTAAAACGAAATTTTGAACTATAAAAAACGAAACGAAATAGGATCTGTCTTTTAATTGGATTGTGTGTGATACTTTTCAGATATCCACCATTTTGTTTATTATCAAGTTTTCGGGAATCCAAATTATTTACAATTGATCTATGGGTACAAATCTTAAATCAGTAAAATACACAGTGTTTAAAGCCATTGTAGACTTGTCACTCTGCTTTATGCGCCACATTTTATTGGGCATGAGCTTTGTTTCCCGGGATGTGAAATTTCTGGTGTCAGGTCAATGCCAAAGTCTGATTGATTGGTTGATTGGAATTCGGGTGGACATAACATGGGATTTCGGTTGCAAAACCAAAGGATTTTTTTCTTCGGGCTCATCATTTCTGCCCCTCCCACTCATCCGGCTCATAAACCTACACAAAATGTCGCGTTTCGTTTTATTTTCCAATGAGTCATAAAGTAAGAGGGGACTGGTTGACTGAGGGTATAGTATAGTCTCGAATTAACGGTGGAAAAACTCCAAAAAAGTCGCTATCAAAATCTCCAGCTCAATATTTAGAAAAGAAATGAAATGAAATGGGGTTTAACGTCCTACTTTTCTGCTCCGACTGGGCTGATGAAGACGGGCATGCGCCATACAGTGTACTATGAGGGCAATTGTACAGTCTTCACGTTGTCGGGCACGTAAAAGAATCCATGACAACTGGAATTCGAAATAAAAGTCGGTGGTGATAAGTAAGACGTTAAATTTCATTTCATTTCACTTTGTCAAGTTTCAAAAGGACACCACGGTTGTTCAGTTGGTAGGACGTCGGCTTGCTCACCTGGATGTCTCATTATCGTTGACCAAGAAAGTTCATCGGTTTTTTCCGACGTATTTCCTCCTTGTCAGTGGTACAGACAAGTGGCAATGTATAGTCGTTCTGATTGGACGACTATCCGAGGACCCGTGTACACATTGGCGGGGACCTTAAAGAAACCTTGACAATTGGAATTCGAAATAAGTGTCAACTCCGCTGTACGGGCAAAATTTCACTTATAACACACTGTTTGTCGTATATCCCCATCTTCATTAGCCCAGTCGGTGCAGAACAGTAGGACGTTAAACCTTATTTCATATCATTTCACTTGTCTACCTTGAACTTCACCACCCCTGCATTGGCCGAGAACGTTCATCCAGATTTTCCGGCGTGGTTTCCCCTTGTCAGTGGCGCAGGACGGGGGGGGGGGGAGTGCTGACAAGGACAGCTGTCTAGTCGTTCGGATGGGACGAAAAACCGAGGTGCCGTGTACAAATTGGCGTGCACGTAAAAGATCCCCTGGCAGTTGGAATTCGATATAAGAGTAGGCTGTAGCGCCGCTGTCTGGGCACAATTTCCCTCATATCACACTGTATGAAGTATGCCCGTCTTCATTAGCTCAGTTAAGGAGCAAAACAGTAGCACGTTAAACCCCATTTCATTTCATTGTTTTTCCTGATCAAACTTGTTCAATTTGTTTTATCTGAAATAGAGAAAAAATATTTCTAAATGTTTGAAACGAAATCAAGATTAATGTCCTACTGTTCTGTTCCGACTAGGCTAATTAAAATGGGCATATGTCATACGGTGTGCTATGTAGGAAATTATGTCCGGACAGCGGCCTACTCTGATTTGGAATCAAACTGACAAGTGTTCTTTTTTAGGCTCCCCCCGTCCCCATTCTGCACCAGTGACTAGGGGAAAACCCACGAGGTTGGCGAGCGACCCTACTCCTTGTCACGTACAACTGGGGACTCGAAACCACGCCAGTTGACTCAATGACAGACCTTATGATACAACACGCACACGTTAACTGTTCGGCCATCCAGCTCCCCTGTACAGTCCCTGGACTGTAGTGATGCAGACAACAGATTTACTCAAAATGAAAAAGATAGGTTACCAGGCAATGAAAGATACGCCCACAGCAGCTAAATCATCCGGGCAGTCACATATTTTTACTTTTTTTAGTAATGAAACAATTATAATACACTAATATCCGATTAAGAGTAACAACTCATCAATTAATTATTAGAAAATCATTAAAATTTGTTTGGTTTGAATGAAGTTCTGCCCCATGCTAACGTTTAGTATACGAAACATTTAATATCATGGATTTAGCTGTTCAAGTTATCAAAATTCATTGAAAATCAATATACTTGTTCATCTCAAGACCTTAAACTGAAGCCAATCCGATGATAACTTTAGCCTCTAGACAGTCACAAGATTTTTCAAAGTGATCAAGGGTCATAACTTTGGCAGTAATTATCAGAAATGTTGAAAATCAATAGGATTCTTCGTCTCATGACCTCAAATAATCAAGGGCCATAACTCTGGCAATAATTATCAGAAATTGCTGAAAATCAATAGGCTTCTTTGTCTCATGACCTTAAACAATGTGTATAAATTTAATGTCAATCGGATATTTACTTTGGCCTCTAGAGCGTCCATAAGCAATTGTGGAATTTGAAACACAGAATTTATCTATTTTTCAGTTATTTTCAATATTAAGTCATTGTAGTTATCTAATGTTGGCCTACCATGCCCAAAAATATTCACATTTGGTTAAATGTGCCGGAAGGACATATTGCCGAAAACACTGCAACATTAAGTATATAAAATTATATTTCGTTTCGAGTAAAATTTATAGGAAGATAGGCACAAAGGGTTAAATCTAATTAATAAGGACAACTTCAAGTTTGGCCAAAGGTCACGAGATGTAAACAGGGTTAACGCTAATCTCAACCCTTACCCTTACCCTGGACCTAGCCCTAATACTTAATCTAACCCTAACCAACAATCACACGCTCTACTTATTACATCTCAGCGACATCGACGAGAATTGAGTTGACCTTAAGAATAAGATCTAGCCATGGCAAATCTAGTTTCATTTTGTTAGCACAGTTTTATTTATTTGGTCACAGACCACTAAAGATTTCCCCATTCACAATGTTAATTCTCGATCGTATCTTAGACAGATGGAGCAAAATGTGGAAACCCCTTGATTTACTTCATTCTCAGCCAATTTATCATTGTTTGTCCATAGGCGTACGACCTGGGGGGGGGGGGCGCCCCCCCCCCATTTTGGGCACCAAATGCTGGGAAAATTTGGGCACACAATTGTACTTTGTAAAAGTTGTATAAAAAATAGTGTGTTCTTGAATGTGTCCAATTTAACAGCGAATTTAAATTCAGAGTGTCTATAGTTAGGCAATTAAATAGAAATCTGAAGACTCATACCCTCTATTGTTTGGAGTACAGTAAGCCACGAGTTACAGTTACATAAACAACTGTTTTTAGTTGTGTATATTACAAGTTAATAAAATTTAGTTCTCTTTTATTGATGATTTAGAAATTAAGAACTTATTCATCGCAAAAGAGATATTATTATTATTATGTAACATACTAAGAACCTAACTACATTTTGGGGGCACCAACCACCACCGCCCCCCCCCCCCAGTCAAAAATTTCCCCGTACGCCTATGGTTTTGACAAGATGTATGCACAGTGATAACCAGGGCACTGATATAATCGGGGCTTAGCCTCGCTTTCCCATTTTTAAATTAAATTTTTAAATGGCGAACCGTTTTAATCTAGTTAAAATCTCGAGTATCCGATGCCATCGAGAGTCGATTATGCTCTTGATTTGTTAATAATGTCTATTCAATAGTTTATATATAATATATAACATTTCAGGCCTTTGACATCATTATTAATGTGACGTCATAATGTATGTTTAGTTTAACAAATGTACTGTTTTTAAAACAATGCGAACATTTATTCTACATTATTGCTATCTCAAAGCTGTTCAAAAATGAAATGAAATGAAATGGGGTTTAACGTCCTACTGTTTTGCTCCGAACTGGGCTAATGAAGACGGGCATACGCCATACAGTGTGCTATGAGGGAAATTTTGCCCGGACAGCGACACTACGGCCTACTCTTATATCGAATTCCAACTGTCAAGGGATCTTTTACGTGCACGCCAATGTGTACACGGGACCTCGGTTTTTCGTCCCATCCGAACGACTAGACAGCTGTCCTTGTCAGCCCCTCCGTCCTGCATCACTGACAAGGGAGAACCACGCCGGAAAATCTGGATGAACTTTCTCGGCCAATGCAGTGATCGAACACCCGACCTCCAGGCTAGCGAGCCAGCGCCTTACCCACTTAGCCACCGTGATCCTCTCAAAGCTGTCCAATATTTAATCAAAAAACATACATGGTTCGAATGTGTTAGACATTACGTTTATAGATTACAAACATCTCACTCCGATCCGATTAAAATACAGATCTATATTTCGTTTCGTTTTTTATACTTTTGACGGCCTCTACCACACGAAGATCTGACTGTAGTGCGAGTTCGTTTCAGGAGTCATACGAGCGTCTTTTCACCCTATGACGTCAGGCATTGATTAATCAACCAGCGTTGACGTTTCTAGTGGTTTAACAACAGTTCCATGCACGGCGCGCCAAGAAGTCACCGTAACAGGCCGGTTCATTGACTAATTCCTCACATCAGACAGAACGCCTGTTATATAACAACTCTTCCAGATTCTAGTGCTGTGAAGACAAGTAAAACGAAATTTTGAACTATATCAGATTTAAAAGTACGTGTCTGGGTCCTTTTACATCAAAGTCGTCCATGGAAACAATCCCATCTTAATGTTTATAAGCCCCGCCATGTGTCATATTATTTGGGTTTGGACGACCCATCAAACATTGACGTATACATTTATTCATGAACTTTTCAATACTAATAACCAATTTGTTCGCCACCGCGATTAACCAAATAAAATGTTCTGCTCTGACTGGGCTAATGAAAACGGGCATACGTCATGCAATATGCTATAAGCAATTTTGCCCGGACAGCGGCGCTACGGTCTATTTTTATATCGAATTCAAACTGCCATGGGATCTTTTACGTCCTGCAATGACAAGGGGAAACCCCACCGGAAAATCTCGACGAACGTTCTCGACCAACACCGGGAGCGAGTCTTCTTTGTCACACTATCCATGCTACACCACTTATAAATCCTACATGGAAATTTCTCACCCAACACCGGGATCGAACCCGGACCTGCTGGTTAATGAGTCAGCGACTTAATCACCGAGCCCCTGTGGCCCCGGTTTATAAATGGTCTGTACAAAATATAATTTCGATGATTTCCATTTTTAAATACTTACTACAAGCAGACTCCTCTCGTTTAGATTCCTCTTCCGATTCGTCCGATTCAACTGAAATCTCATCGCGGAAAGGTGCACACTTCATTATCAGCCGGAATGCTTAAAAATCAGAGGAACATAGATCATCAATTGTATTTTCTGTAGAAAGTTACTTCAATGATTTCAAATTAAATGTGAAATTTATGTTAAATTTAGATGATTAAGACCATACCTCCATTTAATTCAGGTGCTACTGCCGTTTCTTTAAGCAACAGGTTTAATTATGTTACGCTACCTAAAATAGATAATCCAGATTCATTACCAGTGTGCTATGAGGGACATTTAGACCGGACAGTGGCGCTACGGCTTACTATCATGGGATCGTTAACGTATACGCCACATACACGGGACCTCGGTTTTTCGTCCCACCCGAGCCAGTATACGTTGTCCCTTGTCAGGTCTGCAGTCCTGCACGAGGAACTACATTGGGGTACTTTCTCTGTCAACGCAGAGATTGAACACGGGACCACCAGGTCAGCGAGCCAACGTCTTACCCACTCAGCCACCGTGGCTCGCTGGCGGAAGACAAATATCTAATTGTAATATCAGTTATAAGTTGGTTCAATTTTGCCCAGTATTTACAAAGATATATACAATATAGAAATTCCATCGATCTATGTTACTCGCTATGAAGTACGCCTGCGGCCATTTTGTTGTCGCGACAATTTAATGACAAACCCGTTTTAAATCCGACTGAATCCAGTCAGGGAGATTATCCAGCGTTTGTATTATGATTTTGTTTTCTTAATTATGTGTCAAATAACGAATCTGGGTATATATCAACGTGGCTTAAACAGACATTATACAAGAGCTAAATCGGATTATTGCATGTCTTTCTTTAGGCCTGAAATGTTATATAAATTATTAATTAGACATTAATTAACTTGTCCAGACCATAATCAACTCTCGATATCATCGCTAGCCTGCGATATTTAGCGGTTTGAGATACAATTTTTGAAAACTAATTAAATGCAAAAATGAATAACCGAGACTCTAATTTCAAATCAGTTATGTTCGGGGAAGTCTCAATTGAATGGCAATCTCTAGTGTCTGGTTATTCCAGTCTACATAGTATTTATGGTGCATGCTCTCCAGATAAGAATATGGGTCGCCGTTTGATATGACTTGTGGAATATGTCTAGCCTCGTTCGTCGAGTCCTTTGTTAAAAATGGGCATGAAACGCATTATGGTACATGATTCGTGTACCAATGTTAAAATGTTTATTTTGGATATCAGAAGCCCATCTTTTCCCGGTAAGATCACAACATCAATGTTGATTTAAATTAACAAATAATTTGTGTTTTGAAAGTTGAAGACTTTGGATGATATTGACTTATTTTGGCCGTTATGGTTTAGCGCCGTTATGTCTATAAACCGACTTAGCTACTTTAACAATTAGACCCACCAGGTACTGTAGCTAGCTTACGGCTGTAAATCTTCTTGTGACCTCTAACCTTAGCTTTATCTCCTGTTCTGTAAGGTGTAGGCCTATCCACCTTCGTAGACTCGCCGATATCTTTCACAGATACTACTGAGTAGCTACCGTCGTTCTCCCACTCAACTTATCCATACACCTTGAAGAATTTTAATACTTTAAATCTCTCTGTAATAATGTTCTAAACGATTTGGACACGAAAACAGTTTTTCACTATAAACTGCTGCTTAACACCGGATTCTACTGTTGTGTGTGTGTGTGTGTGTGTGTCGTTAACGTCCGCTTACACCTAGTGCGATGATGTCGCACAACTGAATATTCGTGACTGTAATGATTGATATAGTGGTTGTAATAGGGAAGTCTTTACTATTTTACTCACTTTGTTCGTGTTGTATACTATTCAAAAAAAGTAGGGGATATTTGATTTTGGGGGCATAATACTAAAATATGCAAATGACTACGAAAAAAGTCACTATAGAACCTAACAGAAGAAACATTTCCAGTTACATGTGACGTCCAAACGCACCAATAGCTACCGCATGGAATGCAGGTGATGCTTGGGATCATCATGGGGGTCCAACCCAAGATTTGCACGACTCTGACTTTGAATGTTACAGTCATTGTGGCATTGAATTCCAGGGTGGAAACATCAGTTTAATTGTTTTAGTGACCAGAAAACAAATTTTGATATGCGTCGGCTTACCCAAAATGAAAGGTTACGTGCCCTTGGCATGCTACAGATCGGCACAACACAGGCGGTTGTGGCGCGGACGATGAATGTTTCTCAGTCTGTCATAAGCAGGCTATGGTCCAGATACCGTGATACACAATCTGTACAGGACAGACCACGCTCAGGTCGACCAAGGACGACAACTCAAGCCCAGGATCGATTTATCCGTACCTTGACCTTGAGAAATCGTGTCATCACAGCAAATCAGATCAGCGCTCGTCTTCAAACAGACACTGGTGTGAGAGTGAGTGGCCAGACGATTCGGAATCGACTGCATAGGGGTCACCTTCGCGCCCGACGTCCTCGCGTGATCCCTTGTTTGAGAGATCATCACATTCAGGCAAGACGTCGTTGGTGTAGGGATCGTCAACACTGGGATAATCGACGCTGGAGCAATGTGATGTTTTCAGATGAGTCAAGGTTCACTGTTGATTTTTTGGACAGACGAAGGAGGGTGTGGCGTCGTCGAAACGAGTGCTTCCAAGACGTTAACGTCATCAGACATGATCGATTTGGGGGTGGTTCTGTTATGGTGTGGGGAGGCATCACTGTTGCTGGAAGAACGGCTTTACATGTTGTTGCAGGGCGTGTTACAGGCCAGTACTACCGGGACAACATCTTGGCAGTCCATGTTGTGCCGTTCGCACGACGTCATGGCCGCCGTTTTATCTTCCAGGATGACAACGCAAGATGTCACAGGGCCAGGATCGTTACAGGTTACCTCCAACAACAGAACATCACCACATTACCTTGGCCAGCACTGAGTCCCGACCTCTCCCCCATCGAGCATGTCTGGGACATGCTTGGACAGAGGTTACGTCAACGTCAACAACGTCCTGCCAATGTCCAAGAACTTGCTGCTGCGTTGCAACAGGAATGGGACAATCTGGACCAAAATGACCTTAGATGTCTCATTAGGAGTATGCCACGTCGGATCAATGCTTGTTTGGCAAACAGAGGAGGATTTACCCGTTACTGACTTGGTTGTGATGCTGTGGTAACTTTGCTGTTTGACCCCGGGTATCATTTTACCCTTATAATGGTCAGTCTGTGCCTTACTTAGTCTAACGATCATTTGGAATAAATCGATGAATGTGAACTTCATTTCATTTTGTCATTTGTTTCTTCGTCAGTTTCATTAGGTGACTTTAATAACACTTAAAAATCAAATATCCCCTACTTTTTTTGAATAGTATATATAAATAATTGGTACGGCATTCATTTTACATGACTGTCTTTACTTGACGTGTTTACATGTAATGAACAATGTTTGTAATATGAGAGAGAGAGATGGAGGGAGAGAGAGAGAGAGAGATGTGGTTTAACGACCACTCGACACAAACCAAGTTAATCGGGACTAACATGGTTCATTCTTATTTCAATAATTCGCTTGCGCGTAGGGCTCTTTAGCAGTGGGAGGAAACCGGAGGACCCGTAGAAAATCAACGAGGTTGGACAGGCGATCTTATTCCTTGTCACGAACAGCCGGGGAATCGAAACTACACTAATTGACCTTATGATACAACGCACACGCGCTAACAATTCGGCCACCCAAGACCATCGATGTGTGCTATGGCGGGGGGGGGGGGGGCAGCTTTGTCAGTCAGGCGGCGATACCATCTGCTCTTAACCAATTCCAATAGTGGTGGATTCTTTTACGTGCACAATGTCCTCGTTTTTTAGACCTATCCGATCGACTATACACTGTTCTGGAGCCACGTTGGCTCATTGAGTAGGACTTTGGAAGACGTTGGAAACGTACATTCTTATTTGCCAGTGGTGTATCCGACGGACCCTATTCATTGTCACGTCCGTTGTTAAAAGATACAGATTAGATTTTTTTTTCAAAGTAAGGAGCCAGGGTAGCTAAGTGGGCGAGACGCTGGCTCGCTATCCTGTATGTCGCGTGTTCGATCCCTGTACTGGCCGAGAAAGTATGTCGGGATTTTCCTTCGTGCTTTCGCCTTGTCAGTGGTTGCAGGACCAGGGCCTGACAAGGAAAACTGTCTAATCATTCGGGTGTACACATTGTCGTGTACGTAAAAGATCCTTTTGCAGTTGGAATTCGATATAAGAGTAGGCCATAGTGTCGCAGCCCAGGCAAACATTCCCTTTTAGCACACTGTATGCCCGTCTTCATTATCCCGGTCGGACTGGAACAGTAGGACCTTAAACACCATTTCATTTCATTTTTTCAAAGTATGTAAATATAAATGTGCCAGAAAATTATTTAAATATTTGAAAATAGAAATGAACGTGCGTTTCAGTGATACCTAACAAGATATCTAGAATTCGTATTAAAATTCGTATTAAGATCATACGAGACGAAGGATCGAGACTTATCGAGTAGAGCCTAGCATTACGGCGGCTGTATTAACATATTCTATATCTATCTTAACACATCACTGGTATGAACGAATCAAATAAATAGTCAGACCATTAATTTAAAGCTATATGTAAATTTCGAAATCCAAAATGGCAGCATTATAAAACGGTCGATTTTAAGTTAATCAACATTTTTAGGCCGATTGTCAAATGAATATGAATTGCACGATATGTTAATCCCAAAATGACATATTGTTAACGCGCTTTAAAAATCTGGATGCAGTAGACTAGATGAATCATTTACATAAAATTAAACAATATGTTAGTCAGTCTCTCTCTCTCTCTCTCTCTCTCTCTCTCTCTCTCTAATTATACTAATGAACCGTTACATTTAACGATTGACTATAATCATTTATTTTATGATCAGTAGTGGAATACCTCGTTTTATCAGTGAAATAAAAGTGTTATTCCACTGGCTAGCAGTAGTCCATGTTGTTTTTACCTAAAATGATTGTAAAATCATAAAATAAATAGAACATTTGTCGTTTTGTCGTGAATAACATATTTTATTTCATCTCTAAGCAAGAAAACGTTTATATTTTCACTCATGCTACGCATTCGTGAAAATATAAGTTTTCTTGCTTCTCGATGAAATAAAATATGTTATTCACTCTAAAACGACAAATATCCTCTATGTATTATTGATATTTGAACTTTATTAAAGTCAATAATTACTGTACATGTTTACTATTACCTACATCCTATATTATTAATATTATATGAACTATAATAGATGGCCAATTAATACTAAACCAAGCATATCATAGTTTGATATACTATTAATATTATATG